CATATACTAACCAAGGAACAGGCAGAAACTGTTTTCTACTTAAACATTATTCAGTATCTGTTATTTTTGTGCACAGAAAGAGGAACAGGAGAAGATAAAACTCAAAGACTGGTGCTTGGCACAGTGTTTAAAATTTGTTGACCTCTTCTGTGTTTTGTACTGTTGCTGGTATTGGATCTGCTTTTGTAGCATATCACCAGCTAAGAACCAGGTTGAAAACATAGTCTAGCCAAGGAACAGGCAGAAACTATGTTTATCCAAGAATCAGGCTGACTTCATAGTCTAACCAAGTAATGGATAGAATCCATATCCAGCCACAACTCAGTTTTACAACTTAGTCTGACTGAAGTACAGGTATAAACTGTGTCCAGTCAAGAATCAGGCTTACAACATAGTTTAAGAAAAGGACAGGAAACTACTTGATTTAGTCAAGGAATAGGCAGATGAATAAGTCAACTCAAGCACATACTAGGTACACAGCTATGTCCAATGAAGGGCCAGCCAAGTAATTTACTCCAAGCAAAAATTAAATATCATTTGGTGTTTCCAAGGGTCTGCCAGACAAATTTTTTCAACTAAGATCTTTACAGGCTAATTTTCTATAAAAATGAACCTGCGAAGAAATTTGGTTCAATGCAAGGACTAAATATTTGTCAGAAATAATTTCATAAAGGAATTCTGTATACTGAAAATATACTAGCATAGGGATGAACAATGCATTCTAAGTCATTAATATTCATAATCAGACAAGACATATTTAATATATTAAGGAAAAATGAAATATTAAGACGGACACAAACCTAGTTACCAGATTTTTAGAATTATCCCAAAATACTATATTTTTGTTCAACAAGATTATTTTAGGTTAATGGTAATAATAATAAAGATGCCCATAATAAATTTTTTATAAGAGATATATATATATATATGTATTCACTTTCATTCATTGTGATTTTTATGGGAAAGTTTAATAGTAAAATTAAAAAAAAAAGAGAGGGAGGATTTTGGAATAAACTTCTTTCTTTCCTTTAATACCAGTTTTATGTATTATTACATTTTGTGCTTCAGTAAGTTGTAACTTTAAAAACCTTTTCTTCTTTGCCTGTGAGTGCATGGGAACCACCATAGAGAGTTTTGTGATTAGAATAGCATAAAACTCCCATGGGCTCAGCTACATTCATACTTAAACATTATTCAGTATCTATCTATTATTTTCCTACAGAGAAAGAGGAGCAGGAGAAGATAAAGCTCAAAGACCGGTGCTTGGCACAGTGCTTGAAATGTGTTGACCTCTTCTGTGTTTGGGACTGTTGCTGGTGTTGGATCCGCTTTCAAGAGTTTGTCTCACTCCTTGTCTTCGATCCCTTCATGGAGCTGTTTATTACATTATGTATTATAGTCAACACCCTCTTCATGGCAATGGATCATAACAATATGGATAAAGAATTTGAAAACGTCTTAAAAAAGGGAAATTATGTAAGTGCAGGCAGTTGTACTGCATATGCACCAGTTATGCAACTTTTTATGACAAAATCCATTGGAAAAATTTATCCCTAATTCTCAATTGCTAAACTCCTTTTTTAACCATTGGTTTTTACTTTGATATTTTATTAATTAATTTTTTCCATTCACTTACTTAAAGTTTAACAGACACACATACACACAAAGATTTAACAAACATATTTTTACTTTTGTAGCATATCACCAGATAAATGTGTATAGTGCATAGTTCATTTAAAAGAACTTGTTGTTTTTCTTATAATTCCATTGAAATAAAATAAAAGATTATAGAAATTGGAAACAAATGTTGCTTTTCTATTTTACGTCATTTGATGTTAATAATCACCTGATACTTAACATATATATATTATCTTCCTTAGGTACTGCTCTGATATTTTAGAATCAACATTTTACACATTTAATTGGTGTTTTAGCTATATTTAAAACATACCATTCAAACTATTATTTTTCGTAATGAATAGCAAAATATATTACAAAACTATGTCATTTACAATTTTTAATGAATAAGTACTTTGTTGAGTTGTGATGTAAGGTAAGTTGTTTTTTTTTTTAGATTTTGTTTTGATTATTAGCAAATAAAAAAATTGTCATATTTATTTTTACAAATAATTAGTTTTAAGTAAAAATATTTTTATGTCTTTGTATCATAAACCTATGGTGGAAAAAGGAGAATAAGCCTGAATTGCCTTATAAGGCTTAGTTTGTAAAGTTTTGAAAAAACAAAAGTTGCATAACTGTGTTTAATGGAACAATGTGAGAGTGCCGTGCTCATCAGTTACTTGTGAAATATTTGTTGAATTGGGTTTTAAATTTTGTACATTACTTTAAATTGAAAACTAGGGAAGGCAAATGATAAATCCATTACGCATGCAGATGATGATATAGAACTGATTGATAATGGTGTAGCTTCACAAGTGTTACTTTTCTGAAATCTATGATTGTATCTGACAGTTCCTCTCTTTGTGAGTGACTGCATGGCTTTTGTGAAGCTTGATTTGTCTTGGCTTTCAAGAGCATGGCACCCTGCCATCACTTGTGTTCCACATGCTGGTTACTGGTGTGCTGTAAAATAATGGCCATTAAGTTACAGTAGCATCTTTGCTTTAATTTTCATTAAAACACTCACTGCGCTGCAGTTTATAAGCACTTGTTAGCTGGTTGCTGTTTAGGATTTGGTGGTTCTTTGTTTGGCCTGCCTATACAGTGCATCCTGCCTGGTCATGATTGGTTATTCGACTCTGAATGGACAAAGAAGTTTCTTGGTAGTCAGAAATCCAAGTAAGTTATGTTATAGAAGGTAAGGATTATGCACATTGTTCATTAATCATGTTTGTTCAATTCTGAATGGACATAAGTTTCTTGGTAGTCAGAGACCCAAGTAAGTTATGTTATAGAAGTTAAGATCTATGCACATTGTTCATTGATTATATTTGTTCATAACTAGTTCTTGTACCTTAGTGTCTGATATTTAAAATCATTATAGATAGAATTAGAAGTTCATCACTACTATAACGACATATTTTAGTATGTTCTAGAAGCCACATGAGATTTATGATATAGTGTTCTCTGTATTTAAAATAAAATGAAATGAAATGGAAGTAAAGGGAAATTCCTAAGTACAATATGGTTATAAAATTCATAGTTTTCTGAGCTTTATAATGATACAATTGTATGTCACTGTCAAGAAAGTGTGTTGTCTCATGGTGAGGAGCACTGCTCTTTATTCTGTTAGTTCTTACTGTAATACTGGTGAACATTTTCTGACATTGATTGAGGTTGTTAGTGTTTGCAGAATAAATATTTTTACCTTATTGGTGAACAATTTTTGATGCTTGTTGAGGAAATTATACCAGATCTGGACTACCACTATTTCCTGTTACTTCTTCTTTTTTTTAATGAGAGAGGATGGTATACTTATTAGTTTATAACTAACTGAAAAAAAAGTTTAGTCCCTGATTTTTATAAACATAAAATTCTCTAAGTATTTTTTTATCAAAATAACTAAACTAAAACAAGAGAATTTTATAAAATTATACTTTAAAGTAAATTAAAAACTTGAACAAATTGATCAGTTGAAGACGAGCTAGAGCCATTGTCACAAATATGCTAAGGTGTTGTAAAAAAATAAACATATGTTGTACAACCCTACAAAACTGTGAAATATGTAGAGAACCCAAGATATGATCTGCTACAGAAGTTGAACATGTTTTATTAGTGAACAACAAGATAAACTTTACCTTTGCATATAATATGAGTGTAGTGATAACAAGCTGAATGCTCATCATATAACAGGAAATTACGATTAATTTTTCATTTCAAAATCTAAATAAATGTTTTATGAACATGTTTTCTAAAGATGAATTATAATCTAGTAACAATACATGTATGGAGAATGACTATCCTATTTCTATTATTTTACAAAAACATCTTTTTTTATGTATATTTGGTCATTTCCTTTATTGTTTGATTAGAATTTTAACTTCTGTATATTTTTAAATATTCAAATGTATTAAATGTTCAAATTTTCTTTTTTATAAATCCTTATCAATTGAAACTTGCAAAAAAACTGCTTCTGAAAGACGTATTCCTACTTGTTCAATTGTATGACCCTGATAATTATTGTGATGGTAAAGGCAGTGAATTTTATGATTAATATTGGGGTCTTCTCTTTTGACTATATTCCTGGTTTTGGCTTTGTTAGCCTGCTGAGCTGAAGAAGAGTGCTTTAATTTTGGCATTTTCAAAATTGAAACATGCTGTAGGTAAAACATGCAGATTATTATAGAGTTGTAGTCAAAGGTTGTAATTGGACAAAATTTGATGATGTTACATCATTTTGTTTCTTTGATAACCAAGTAAATGTAATGGGGAATTTCAGCCAATGATTATGATTTTTGTGCACCAGCAACACCAAATGTGGGGTGCGTTTATTCCCAATTTGATTTTATTACTCATCACAATCTCTACCAGCCTATCCTCAACTTGAATTACGTACCCATAGTAGCATATCTTTTGTTTTATATATGTGTGTTTATATGCTTTCTGATGGAACAATGAAATGCATGCACATCCGAAAAAGCAGCTCAAATAAGTCCCAGTACTAGTATCACCTTAAAAGGTAAGTTCCAGTACTCAGTACTAGTGAGTACTAGCAGAATTTCACCCCTGTTAGTAGTCAACTGAAATATTTTATTATATCAAAATATACTAAAGTATTTATTTGATGAGTACAAGATCCATCTATATTGTTTTGGTAAAAATGTATTCACAACAAGATATATTACAATTTGCTATTCAAAAATACTTTCTGTTCACATTTCAAAGAAAGACAAGAGATGAGTGCATGTATATATATATTTTAAAACTTAGCACTGAAAACTTGCAAGATATAGTCCAAATATTTGGAAACACTAGCTTTTTCCACAGATATACGCATTAATGCCATAATAACACAAAAGTCACATTTTTTTACATAAAATTTAATTATGTAAGAAAAGAATAAGCTACTTGCAAAAAAGAAAATTGTGTACTTGAATTTGGGCTACTTGATATTTCATTTTAATTAATGGGATGGAACTATGTCTTTCCATTTGTTCTTGTTGTACACATGTTTTTATTTATCCTCTTTTTTTGCAATGGGTCCATACCAAATGCATTAGAAAACATACAGGAGGATAAAGTGTGCCAAACTTAATACTGATATATGTTTCAATTTTTCTTGAGTATAATTCAAGCAGTATAGTTACTAAATCTATTGATATTAACTTTTTTGAAACAATTTATTTTATGTATCTTCAAATTAATTTATTTTGTAACAGAAATGTTTCATTGGTACTCTAGAATACTTGGAAGTAGGTGTGTCAAAATTCTCATATTACAAGTAAACTTGTTTTGATTAAAGTAGGTGAATTTCTTGGAAGGAGACACCATTGCCATGAAATTATTTCAGGTTATGGTGAATATTTTACATCACCATCTTCTATATTTGATAATTTCTTTTTTGTTGGCAGTACATAGATATAATAATAAACACTGAGTAGAATATTTATGTTCATACGCTGATGCCTTAAGAAAGAAAGATATTTATATTTTTAATGGGATCGTTAATTTGGTATTGTTTAATGAAAGTATAAATTTTCCTTACCTGAAAATGTATTTCAAATAGATACCTACCTATCCATAGAACAGATAGCTAATATCTCTTGCCACTGTCTAAGTTTGTTTATGTGGCAAGCTATTGAGTAAAATTATAAATACTTCACTTAATAATGTATATTCTGCCAGTCTATAATGCAATTAGCATTAGACTATAACCCTCCAACAATAAGAGGGTGATACATCTTCCATGTGCAGGACTTTCCTTGAACACTTTGTGTATACCTAAAGCTCATTCTTGATGAGACAAAAGAGAGACAGTGGAAGAGGGGAGAAAGAATGGATGGGTTTATGGGGAGGTATGTATTTATTTGAAATACATTTTCATGTGAAAAACTGTTAACTTAAGAAACACTACTCACCTCTCTACAGAACAGATAGCTAAAATTTCTCATCAAGAGGTTGGTGGAGGATTTAGTGTAGAGAAAGAAATTTTAAACATGATCTCCTTCCTGAGAATATAGTGACAGAAAGGAAAATTTCAGGGAGGGATAACCTAGTAGGACCATCACTTGGTGGGATACTGCATTAATCTGAAACCGGAAATACTATTTGCCCAATACAAGGGATAGTGCAGAAAAATATAGTCTAAAGAAGCTAAAGTATGTGGATTGAGGTGATTGTTTTTTTTCTTTTGTGGAAATTGCAAGAAAAATAAATAATTATCAAATCACTTTTATAGAGCTTCTGGGTAGATTGGAGAATGGCTACTGGAGTGAGGTGAAACCTAGAGGCACAAGAGCCTGCAGTGTGGTGTCAATAATATGACACAAAAGTGTCAGGGACAACACGATCAAGAT